TTTGGAGCAGAACCATATGGGAGAAGCACTGGCAAGAAGTGCTTTCCCTTGCACATACTTGAAGTGAAGGGGAAAAACAAAACAATACAAAAAAAAAACCCTTTTTTTAATGTCTGACTTACTAATGTGATGATCTGAAATGAATCTTTTGTTTCTCTTAGTACTGCTGGCGGTGGACAGGTTTTAATTTTGGCTTTGACCTCCTTGTGACTTATACCAATCGGTACATCATTTTCAAACGCAACACACTGAATCAGCCATGTAGTGGATCTGTCAGCTTACAGCCTCGAAGGAGCATAGCATTTAGGTAGGATGACACCCCTACTTCCTACACCACCGGGAAGGGTAAGAAATATAATGAATTGGGCAGTGGTGGCGCACACCTTTAATCCCAGCACATAGGAGGCAGAGGCCGGTAGATCTCAGTGAGTTAGAGGCCAGCCTGGTCTACAGAGTGAGACCCAGGTCAGCTAGGACTGTTACACAGAGAAAACCTGTCTCAAAAAAACAAAAAGCAAGCAAACAAAAAGAATGAAATGAAATGAAATCTTGATCACCAATGTAGGATTTGGGTAAGACACAGTGTATGGGAGCTGAGAAAACTTCATTTCTTTGAACACATCTCAGTAGACAAGAAAAGAAGGTCTTGAGTGTCAGGATAAGCAGCTAGAGTAGGAATGATGAACAACTTGATTCAGGACTTGAAACTGTCACCGTGTTACATCCCTAGCAAATAAAATGTGCAAACTAGAGTAAGTCAGATGCTCTTGGAAAGCACCTGCCGGGCATGCTGTGTCCACCTCTTCCTAGAAGTAAACTGGCATTCATTTCCTGGAGATGGTGCTGTGGACTGGCAGGAGCAAGTAGTTGAGTGATGCTATCTATTTTCAAGAATCAACTCAAAGGGGCCAAGCATGGTGGTGATGTCTTTAAACCTAGCACTTGGGAGACAGGGGCAGGCAGAGGTTTGTGAGTCTGAGACTATTCCTATCTATATATGTGAGTTCCAAGACAGCCAGAGCTATGTAATGAGACCATTGCAAAACAGAACCTCAAAGGGATTTTATGTAAGATCTAAAGTTGTTGACGTAGTTGGGAGATGACATGGGGCAAAGGCTTGATGACATTTGGTTTGGTGTAGCCTTCTTTGATATGATGCACAGGCTCAAAAGTCTTTATCTAAATTGTAAGCGTGTGTCAGTGAATACAGGGAAAAGGCAGCTGCAGAAGGGGAGAGAACATCTGCAAGCAGACCATATCCTTGATGGGATTAGCATTCAGAGTACACAGCAGACCAAAAACTACAACTGAAAACTGCCAGGGAGGGGGGCAAAGATTTGTAGTTTTAGCCAAGTTTGAGACTAATTACATAGTCCCAGCTAAAAAGGATGGGGCAGGTGGAAAGATGGCTCCATGGGTAGTTGTCTTGCAGAGGACCCAGGTTAGTTCACAGCCCCACATGGTAGCTCACAACCATCCATAACTTCAGTTCCAGAGTACCCAACACCCTCTTGACATTTGTAGGCACCAGGTATGTACACAGTGCACATTTTTACTATAGCTGGGCAACTCATACACATAAAATAAAATAAATTTTTATGATTGAAAGCATGCAGATTAAAAGTGGCCAAGGCTGTGGCAGAGCAGCCATGGAATGTACATGGCTCTGATTTACTCCTGCAGACCCAGAAAAACAAAGCAGCAAAGAATTCGCCCAAAATTCCTCCAAAAGGCTGGGGAGGTGACTCAGTCAATACAGTGCTGCCAGGCAAGCATGGGGGCCTGCTGTCCAGCCTGCTTAGCCAAATGGGTAAGCGCCAAGGTCTAGAGGAAGGCACCCCAGATTGGCATCAAGCCTCTGTGTATGTACATATACATACATATATTCTCACAAACACACACACTAATTCTCCAAAGAAGATACTTAACATTGTAGTCATTGGGAAAAGTGAAATAACAACCACAATAAAATGCTGCTGCACATCTTTTATCCAAAGCAATAACAAGGATGGACATGGCTATAGAATAACCAGATTCTTGTCCCCTGCTGATAACATTGTACAAAGTGGTGCTGCCATAGCACAAAATAGGACATTTGCAAAAGCATAAACTAGTGCTTTATGGCCCAACAATTCTGCTTCTGAGTACATCCCAAAAGAGTTGGAAGCAAGGGCTTAGCTATTTATACTCTTAGGCTTGCAGCAGCATTGCTCATGGGAGCTGGACAGTAGAAGCTTGACAGATAACTTGATAAACATGGGTGGTGATGTACACATAGCAGAACATGAGTCATCCTTAAGAAGGAAAACCCGACAAAGACCCTGTGAAATGAGTTAAGTGTGTCACAAAAGAACAGCAATCCCGATTCCACTCATGCCTAAAATAGAAAAGTTTATGGGGACAGAAAGTGAGCTGGGTACCAGTTCTGGGGGAAGAAATATGAAGATTCCCTGCTTACCAGGGATGGTGTCAGCTGGAGAAGGTGGCATGCTCTGAGAATGAGTGTGGTGGTGCCATCGCAAAGAAATCAAATAGTAAACTTCCTGTGGTGTATGTCTCTCCACTTTGGAGTTACTTTTATATAATAGAATAACACAAATTAGAAATCTGAATGGAGTAGAGTTTACATTTTGAAAAGACTTTAAATTCCTTTATATAGGACTCACCTTATATGAGGCACACTCTTGTAATCTCATCACTCAGGAGGTAGATGCAGGAAGATCATGGTTCAAGGCCAGGCTGAGCTACATAATAAGACCTGTTCCTAAAAAACAATGGTTGGAGCTGTATCTGTGGTAGCATGTTTGCCTAGCATACACAGGGCCCTGGGCCTGGACTCAGTCCACAGCACTTATTTCTATAAGACTTCCAACTGGGCAGTGGCGGTGCTCGCCTTTAACCCTAGCACTTGGGAGGGAAAGGCAGATAGATCTCTGTGAGTTAGAGACCAGCCTGGTCTACAGAGCGAGTGCCAGGACAGGCTCCAAAGCTACACAGATAAACCCTGTCTCAACCCTGTCCCCCACCCCCTGGAAAAAGACTTCCAGGGAATATAGAAGGGGAAAAAGTAGAGTAAGGAAGGCTTTGTTTATATTAGTCTTCACTTTAAGAATTGTATTTTTTTTTCATTCTAGATTGCGATTGGCTTCTTTTGACAGTAGTGGAAAACTTATATGCAGTAGAGCAACTGGCTACCAGATACTGACACTTGAAAAAGACCAGGTGAGAGTACTCGTGTGCTTGTCGCTTTGCCGCACGGTAAGAAGATGACCTTAAAATGACAAGGTTGTTTGTTTTGGTTTTTCGAGACAGGGTTTCTCTGTATTGTTTTGGAGCCTGTCCTGGAACTCGCTCTGTAGACCAGGCTGGCCTCGAACTCACAGAGATCCATGTACCTCTGCCTCTAGAGTGCTGGGATTAAAGGCATGCGCCACCAACGCCCAGCTTAATGACAATGTTTTGATGTGAAAACGTATTGAATTTTTTTCAAAGTAAGTGAAAATATCCTGATCACTTCTGCAGAACTCCATTGATTCCAGCACTGCAGATCTGGTATCCTGGATCAAAAACATGAAACCCAAAATGCTGTATTAAAATCAGAAGAATTTTCAGCACCACAGGTGCATAAAATTACCTTGAGTCTGTTTGCATGAATGTATGTATGAAATACACATACGGATCTGTGTATAGACTTAAGATGTTCTAAAATCTGGAAAAGTACAGTCTGACACTCTGGTCTCAGGGTTTTCAGAATTTCAGAAGAGAACTACTCTATGCTTTGAAACAGAATGGGACCACAGAAACAAAAAGATCATCTGGTCATGTGGTAGTGGCTCACACCTTTAATCCAAGCACTCAGGAGGCAGAGGCAGGTGGCTCTCCGTGAGTTCAAGGCCATTCTAGTCTATAGATGGAATTCCAGGACAGCCAAAGCTGTTATACAGAGAAACCCTGTCTGAGGGAAGGGGGGGAGGGGAAGGAAAGAAAGAAGTCATCTGAGGGAAAGGGAGAGTTGACAGTAGGGACAATGACTTTGGGTATCATCACACAAAGCTGCATAGTGCTTGCTCCACCCTGTACCTGGGTCGTTTATTCCCACTGTCACTGCAGACATCCTGAAGATGCCTGACGACACTCTAGTGCTCCTGAGTAGGAAGGAAGAGGGTAGACATCCATAATACTCTCCATAGCATCTCATTTGTCATGTCATACATCCAAATGTATGTATTCATTTTGAAATGTTAGGATGAGAAAGTAAATTGTTTTCAGATACAAAAATTAGAGTGCTAAATGGTGAGGAGATTTGTTTCTTTTAAAAAGCCTACCACATTGGAAACCGTGTCCTGTTTTAGCAAAGGACTTAGAGCCCTTCCTACCTCCAATGGGGGAGCCAGCACTGAGGGAATGTGGAGAATCAGTAGCTGTGCCCTCACGTGCCCTAGGGAACCTGCCACCACAGTCTCACAGTGTGCACTTGCACCTCTGCTGCAGGTGTGGGAGGGCACAGCTCATGGCAGAGGGCCTGGCCTATGCGAGAGGGTGCTGAGTGCTGTTGCAGATCCCAGAAGAAGAAATAGATGCAGGCATGGCGGGTAGAATGTGGGAATGTCCTTTTCAACAGATGTGGGATGCGGTCGGTCCTTCGAATCCCTGTCTTCCTGCACTGAAATTCCCTGTTGATCCTGGAACCAAATGAACAATGTCTGACCTTACTTTCTATCTTTGTAAAAAGCAGCCAGAAAACTAAAAGACTGCAGGCCAAGTTAATCATACCTACCCATTTTATTTGCCTAATGTCTTTGTGCCTGCTGCATAGTGAGTTCTATCCACTTGAGCCTGTGTTAATGTAGCCTCCTATTAGAAGCACTATGGCACAGTGCTGAGGGAGAAGCCCCCAACCTCCCACCCCCCTCCAAGCTTCAAAGTTGAAGGTGTATGTGATGACTGGCAGCTCAGGGAATATTTGTGCTGAAAAAGTGAGCATAAGAATCCTCAGGTGAATACTTAACCTGGCAAGGGAGGTACCATTATCATGAAGGTGGTTTTCCCAGTGCGAGGCTTATCTGTTGCACTCTGCATGTGCAGATCCCTGTGATTTCCTCAAATGCGGAAAAGTCCACTGCATAATTTGTGATAGTGAGGGGCTGCTTTTGCGCTCAGGTGAATGAGATAGGGACAAGTGCTGGTCACTTTAGAACTGAAAGGAAGTAGGGAGAATTCAGTACTGATCGATCTGGTGTTATGGACTGCAGGTGAAGACTGAAGGCTTTTGGTTAGTTACTTATGTGTTTCCCATGTGTTACAGGTATTTGCACTGGAAGAAATAGAAAATACTATTATTTAGATCATTCATCCTTATTGGATAAAAGTTGTCTCTTAATGTTTTTGGGTTTTTTTGTTTTTTGTTTTTTGTTTTTTTTTTGGTTTTTTATGAGACAGGGTTTCTCTGTATTGTTATGGAGGCTGTCGGTCCAGCCTGGCCTCAAACTCACAGAGATCTGCCTGCCTCTGCCTCCCGAGTGCTGGGATTAAAGGCGTGCGCCACCAACGCCCGGCTCTCGGCCTTCTAATTACTGGTATTGCAAGTGTATGCCACAACTCCTGGCAGCCCATGCATTTTCTAGTGGCCATCCTGCAGCCCTCTGAGCAGCAGAGAGAGCACATCCAGCAGAGTATTGCATTCCTTCCAATCTCTTACTAGATGTGGAAAGTGAGTGCAGGACCTGGAGAGGTGACTCTTGCAGAGGACGTAGGTCCAGTTCCCATCACCCACATTTGTCAGCTCACAACTGTCTGCAACTCTAGTTCCAAGGATCAAGTGTCCTATTCTGACTCCTGAGGGCACTGTATGCATGTGCATACAGTCAGGCACACACAGACATGGGATAAATAGATATTTACAAAAAAGAAAGAGAGTACATATTGTTTTGGCTTTAATTTTCATTTGATCACTGGTGTAATCGGATTTTTGTTTACTATGTGACTTCCTGGGTAAACTGATGAATTGGAGGGCATAGATTTGGTTTCATTATAAATCTGTTTGTGTCCGTGTCTCACTAAGCCCTGCTGTCCGGGCTTAGTGAGACTTAAAGCTGCTTCTCTCCTGAAGCTTCCAGTGGAGGGTAGGTGGGCTATCAGTCAAAATGCAGACAGTGTGGGTTCCTTTGTCTGGAAGCAGGTCCCAGTATAGAAGGATCTATGGTGTGTGCTGCTGCCTTTGCAAGGCCTCTACAGCTTCACTTCCAGAGTGAACCCAGTAGGGGGCACTTCAACCTGCTGGTGTTTCAATGGAGACATACAGGGTGGAGTTCAAAGGTTTGAGGATGCTGGAAGCCATCAGTGTGTTACGGATTGGAGACCAGGAATTAATATTGCTTACCCAAAAATTGATGTGTCCATTTGGCTTCAGTCAGTATCCACTTCAGCCTTCTCTTTTCCCTGGAGTTAGCTCTTTGACTTAGACCCCTGATGTGTGATTTTTATCAGAGCCTTTGTTTTTGTTAGTTTGTTTTTTTGTCAGTGCACAGTTGTGTTTTTTTTTTCATCGTCAGTGTGCATGGCTTCAAAGATTATCATCAAGTTTGGTAAATGTGATGGAAAAATTTAGTAAACCTATATTCAGGTTGAAGGGACAGGTTTTGCTCAAGGCAAGGTGGCTCAGATGTGTGCTGACATTCCTTTGGGCAACACTGTTTTCCCATCTGCCAGTAAGACAATGTCCTCATTTTACTCTCTGAGATTTTACTGAATACCACCTTCCATATTTTAATAAAATTTCTACACACTTACCTAAATGTATGCTCTTAACCACCACCCCGCATACAAAAGTTGTACCCTTAGCAGTGGTAGCACACGCCTTAAATCCCAGCACTTGGGAGGCAGAGACAGGTGGATGGATCTCTGTGAGTTGGAGACCAGCCTGGTCTACAGATTACTTTCCAGGACAGCCAGAGCTACACAGAGAAACCCTGTCTCAACCCCCCCCCAAAAGTGCTCTTTAAGCCTTCTTTGGTCCCTAAGTTGATCTTCATGAAAGTTGGTGTTCCAGGCTCTATTTCTTTCTTTCTTTCTTTCTTTCTTTCTTTTTTTTTTTTTTTTTTTTTTTTTTTGGTTTTTCGAGACAGGGTTTCTCTGTGGCTTTGGAGGCTGTCCTGGTACTAGCTCTTATAGACCAGGCTGGTCTCGAACTCACAAAGATCCGCCTGTCTCTGCCTCCCGAGTGCTGGGATTAAAGGCGTGCGCCACCAACGCCTGGCCCAGGCTCTATTTCAACAGTGTTTACAGCATCTCCAAAATGTATAGAATAACATGACCAGTACCTGCAGTGTATGGGATGTCCCTAGGGTTAGGTGTAGAATGTTATTTCAGTGTTGCTTCTTTAAGGATTTAGTTGCTGTCTGGTCCTAGGACAGATCTGTGAAGTCCAGAGAGAGCCAAAGTATCAGTGTTTCCCTTGTGACTCTCACCATCTGTCTTGGGGAGGTTTCATGTGCTGAACTCAAAATGCTTTTGCATGATATGCTATGTACTCTGTTCTAGGCACAGTGGGGGATTTAGATAAGGGCAGCAACTGTACTTGGTGATGACAGCAGTGACTTACTACCTTACTCCAGTGATCTGCTGTACCAGTCTTAAAAAGTGAAACCAAGTGAGCAGCAGTTTGGTGTGCACAGGGGACTTGGCTGTTGGTTGTTTCAGGGGTTGAGAATTTAAACTGGAGCCTTGTGCACGCTGGACTCAAGGTAGAGGCGAGCTTAGAGACACTAGCATGTGCTCTGCCTCTGAGCTGTGTCAGCCTCTGTTTACTATATGCTCATAAAATATGCAAGAACGTGATAGAGAATCTTAGAAAAGGAAATAGCTGCCCCTGCTGAGTAGCTGACCCTGTCTGAAGCTTTAGTTCTCAGTGCCGTCCTGTGAGCTAGGGGTAAACAATGAGGACCGTTCAGGTCACAAGCTCACCCACTCATCAGTGGGCTGGAGTCTATAGTTAACAGCTGTGGTGAGTGCTGCATCCACACTGTTCTCTTTCCTTCATTTTACTCAACAGCTTGACATATATGTTATAAAATGTTTCTGTCTAGTTGTCATTAGACCTGCCAATCTGTCTTGTAGGAACAAGTGGTGATGAACTTGGACAGCAGGCTTCTGGTCTTCCCTTTGTATATCTGCTGTAACTTCTTGTACATATCACCAGAAAAAAGAACTGAAAGTCATCGTCACCCAGAAACCCCAGGAAACTGAGGCACTCGTCAGTGGGAAGAGGAGCACTTTGAAAACTGTAGAGGCCAGTTTAAAGTACTGGCCTCCTGCGCTCACATCCAAGGTGACTAACAGGGATGGGCCTTATTAACTTTATGGACGCTGCAGGAGATGTCCTCATCCTCAATATGTTTCTATGCACATATGAAAAAGTGTCTGTCAAACCATGTATGTTAAAAGGATATCAACTCTTGCTTTAACTTAGTATCAGTAGAAAATTGCTGTAGGTAAATTTCTCAGTTCTTTGCAACAAAATATAGATTTAATTTTGAGCTTGAATTTTGATTCTACCTAGTGTTAGTGAACTTCACTTTTTCATCTGTAAAGTTGTTCCTATTTTGTTAAGAGAATGCTAAGGGCATAGTTTGAATGGCCAATTATAAACGCTCTTTCAGTTGGTGCCTTTAAAGCTGTCCATCGATTTTTTTTTTTCAGTCGCTCGTTGAGTCTTCTGTTTAGTCTGAGACCTCTCCATCTCTGCCTCTTTTACCATCAGATCCTTTTCATGGTTTGGGAGACTAAGCTTAGCACCTTGCTTGGTTTGATCTGTTTTTGTTTTTTTATCTAAATTTAAGCATTTTTCCTATTTTTTAAGCTTTAACTTTCCTATAATTTTAATTGACAACAACAAGCGGCTTTAGGACTTGAAGTAAACTTGAATAAGAGAAATCGGTTTGATTCTGAGGGTGCTCCTTTGCCTTATGTGTGGTCTTGTCTGACACTGTGTTCTCTGTTATGAATTATTTATATACAATGCCACATTTTCAAACATTTCCTGTTCTCTAGTTGTTGGGATTTATGTTCAAAATTTAGTTGGGAATCTTATTTCCTACTTGAGCTCAGGACTTTGTAACCTCTGAACTGAGTGCCTTTGAGTCACACACGCAAACAGATTTCGTGATGAATGCACAGGAGGAGCTGGGAACAATGCGCTCGTGTGAAAACAACGTATTTGTCAAGAATGAGATGTGTGCGTGTCATGGTTTGTATATGTTGGTGCCTTGTGTTCATTGCTATTTAAAATTGCCACTCTCATTCCCTCCAGTCAGAGTAAGTGCTTTTGCGGTTGATGTATGTTTTTAATATGTTTTAAATTGGAATCATTTTTATGTATCTGTTCAAATAAAATGCTCCTATTTAAAGTGGACTCGAAAACCTCACCTGAAACTACATTCTCTTTTTTTCTGAATTTCTGTGTTTTTCCAAGTACTTGCTTCTTTGTGTTTGTTTTGTTTTAAAGCAGGATTCTATTAAAGAAAACAAAAAACAAAAAACAGCTGGACTGAATGACTGGAAGTCTAAATCTCAGCAGCTTCTGGAAAAAAGAACTAAGAATGTCACGTCTGCTGCGCGGCCTGTGTCCGAGAACGTGCGGAGGGTGTCGGGTATTGAAAACACAGAGACTCGTTCAATGATATAAAGAGAACTTTAAACAGGCTCCAAAAAGGTTCAAGAAAACCTCCTAAGAAAAGCTCCCACCAGAGAAGCTTCTGCTCTCTCCTCTCCCCTGGCTGGTTCTGCTCTGACACCAGAGGTGGATGTGTGTGGGTTTTTGAAGGTGCGGTTAGTCTCTGGACAAGGTCGAGGTCAGGGCGGTTTCCGTGGGAAGGCCTTTCCCAGGAACTTATTGTATCGTTTTTAGTAAACATGTTTTTACTAAACATTGTCTTACAGCTGCCTACTCCCAGGCAGAAGGGGAAGTGGGTCTCTGCTCAAGGTCTGGTGTTCCCACAATTCACCCCTTTTTATTTTCAAATGAGGCACTCCTGGCTTAGGTCAAGTAGGGTCACCCTCCCTTTCCCGTCTTTGGGGGACCTTGAACCCCTGTTTTAGGTGGGAGGGGTCTTCCCCACAGGTTGCCCGTCATCGGAGATACCCCAACCTTAAATCATCTGTA